AAGTCCGTCATGGTGGCCCACTCAACTGGATTACTATTTGATCATTAACCTTTCCTCAGTCCTAATTTTCAATTCACCTAACCTGTCCAAACCCGTGCGCCACCTTCTTCCATCCACTTCAGTAAGGACGCAGGTGCGGGGAAAAAGATGACGCCTGTCTCTCCCGTCAGACGAATAACGGATTAGTCCGTCATTCTAGCGGGGGATTTACTGGCATTAGTTTTATTTATGATTACGCATTACGCCCGCAAGAGGTAATTACGCGTTTTGAGGCGTTACCTTGGTCGGGTTTCGCGAGAGACAAGGGTTCGAGCAGTAACGCGGTGACTGAACGTTAATAGACTTATTGGTTGTTTCTGGGGTTACGGGGAATTGTTTTTTGGGGGGTTTTAACAACGAGGAAGGATTGAACCTTCGGTAATAGCCTCGTAAGGTTCAATTAGGTGTTCGTGTGCTTGTGTGTTTGATCAGTGACTCGCTGGCTTTGGCTTCGGCTCCGTCTCGAGGTATTATCTGCTGGTAATGGTTTTATTCTGGTTTAATTGTTGGTGGTGTGGTCTGGCTGTGTTGTACGCACACGCACGCACACGCTCGCACACGCACGCACACGCTCGCATACACACCCACACCCACCCACACACACACACACACACACACAGTCCATATCTAGTCAAGGATAAGACTAAACTGGAAAAGGTTCAAAGGTTTGCCACCAGACTAGTACCCGAGCTGAGAGGTATGAGCTACGAGGAGAGACTACGGGAATTAAACCTCACTTCGCTGGAAGACAGAAGAGTTAGGGGGGACATGATCACCACATTCAAGATTCTGAAGGGGATTGATAGGGTAGATAAAGACAGTCTATTTAACACAAGGGGAACACGCACAAGGGGACACAGGTGGAAACTGAGTGCCCAAATGAGCCACAGAGATATTAGAAAGAACTTTTTTAGTGTCAGAGTGGTTGACAAAGGGAATGCATTAGGAGGTGATGTGGTGGAGGCTCACTCCATACACAGTTTCAAGTGTAGATATGACAGAGCCCGATAGGCTCAGGAATCTGTACACCTGTTGATTGACGGTTGAGAGGCGGGACCAAAGAGCCAGAGCTCAACCCCCGCAAACACAACTAGGTGAGTACACACACACACCCACACACACCCACACACACACCCACACACACACACACACACACACACACACACACACAACCACACACACACACACACCCACACACACACACACACACACCCACACACACCCACACACACCACACACACCACACACACACACACACACACACACACACACACCACACACACACCACACACACACACACACACACACACACACACACACACACACACACACACACCCACACACCCACACACACACACACCACACACACACACACACACACACACACACACACACACACACCACACACACACACACACCACACACACACACACACACACACACACACCCACACACACACACACACACACCACACACACCCACACACACACACACACACACACACACACACACACACACACACACCACACACACACACACACACACACACACACACACACACCACACACACACACACACACACACACACACACACACACACACAGGTCTAGGAAGCCGCCACACATCACACATCAAATTACCCGATTACCTTGACGACCAACAAGAGAGGGGGAGAGATGGCTGAGGAGGGAGGGGGGGGCAGGAAGTATGAACCAGGGTGAGGGGAAGAACACAGTAAACAAGGGGAAGAGAAGAATAATATAGATCCCACACACCACAGAATTCATAGGTGAACCAAGCAAGAGTCGGCAGCCCCGCTCCTGTGCCAAGTTACGGGCTCACCATAGCCCGTGCTACTTGAAACTTGTTCCGAGTAACTGAATCTATGATAACAGCAACAACCACAGAACAGTTTTTAATGTTTTGGTCTTGCGAGCACATGTTTTTCTTTGCTTACTTTTGCTTGTTTAACATCATGGAATGAAAGGAAATTCTTTCTTGCAAAATCTGGCGCCTCTCAACTGTCAATCAACTGGTGTACAGGTTCCTGAGCCTACTGGGCTCTATCATATCTACATTTGAAACTGTGTATGGAGTCAGCCTCCACCACATCACTGCCTAATACATTCCATCCGTTAACTGCTCTGACACTGAAAAAGTTCCTTCTAACGTCCCTGTGGCTCATGTGGGTACTCAGTTTCCACCTGTGTCCCCTTGTTCGCGTCCCACCAGTGTTGAATAGTTTATCCTTGTTTACCCGGTCGATTCCCCTGAGGATTTTGTAGGTTGTGATCATGTCTCCCCTTACTCTTCTGTCTTCCAGTGTCGTAAGGTGCATTTCACGCAGCCTTTCCTCGTAACTCGTGCCTCTTAGTTCTGGGACTAGTCTAGTGGCATACCTTTGGACTTTTTCCAGCTTCGTCTTGTGCTTGACAAGGTACGGGCTCCATGCTGGGGCCGCATACTCCAGGATTGGTCTTACATATGTGGTGTACAAGATTCTGAATGATTCCTTACACAGGTCCCTGAACGCCGTTCTGATGTTAGCCAGCCTCGCATATGCCGCAGACGTTATTCTTTTTATGTGGGTTTCAGGAGACAGGTTTGGTGTGATATCAACTCCTAGATCTTTCTCTCTGTCCGTTTCATTAAGTACTTCATCTCCTATTCTGTATCCTGTGTCTGGCCTCCTGTTTCCACTGCCTAGTTTCATTACTTTGCATTTACTCGGGTTGAACTTCAACAGCCATTTGTTGGACCATTCACTCAGTCTGTTTAGGTCATCTTGTAGCCTTCTACTATCGTCCTCAGTTTCAATCCTCCTCATAATTTTTGCATCATCGGCAAACATTGAGAGAAACGATTCTATACCCTCTGGGAGATCATTTACATATATCAGAAACAGTATAGGTCCAAGGACTGACCCCTGCGGGACTCCACTCGTAACGTCTCGCCAATCTGAGACCTCACCCCTTACACTGACTCGTTGTCTCCTGTTGCTTAGGTACTCCTGTATCCAACGGAGTACCTTCCCTTTCACTCCAGCCTGCATCTCCAGCTTTTTCACTAGCCTCTTGTGTGACACTGTATCAAAGGCTTTCTGACAATCCAAAAATATGCAGTCTGCCCACCCTTCTCTTTCTTGCCTTATTTTTGTTGCCTGGTCGTAGAATTCAAGTAACCCTGTGAGGCAGGACCTGCCATCCCTGAACTCATGTTGATGCTGTGTTACAAAGTTCTTTCGCTCCAGATGTTCCACTAGCTTTCTTCGCACAATCTTCTCCATCAGCTTGCATGGTATGCAAGTTAGGGACACTGGCCTGTAGTTCAGTGCCTCCTGTCTATCCCCTGAATATGTATTCACCTAGTTGTGCTTGCGGGGGTTCAGCTCTATTCTTTCGGCCCGCCTCTCAACTGTTACTAATTACTAACTATTTTTTTCACACACACACATCCAGGAAGCAGCCCGTAACAGCTGTCTGACTCCCAGGTACCTATTTACTGCAAGGTAACAGGGATATCAGGGTGAAAGAAACTCTGTCTATTTGTCTCTGCCATCACCGGGGATCGAACCCGGACCCTAAGATTACGAGTCCAAAGCGCTGTCCACTCAGCTATCAGGCCCCCTATGTACATTGTGTGTAGATCGATGTTTAAGGATCAATGTTTAATCCACTAGAGGAGCTCTTCAGTGTTCTCTCTCTTCTCCCCTCTCTCTCTCTCTCTCTCTCTCTCTCTCTCTCTCTCTCTCTCTCTCTCTCTCTCTCTCTCTCTCTCTCTCTCTCTCTCTCTCTCTCTCTCTCTCTCTCTCTCTCTCTCTCTCTCTCTCTCTCTCTCTCTCTCTCTCTCTCTCTCTCTCTATTTTTGCACCTAGATAATCCTGGGAATCTGAACCAAGAGGAATTCCATCTTAACATTCCGTCTTGAGTTTCAATAATTTACTGATTCTTGTTACAGATGTTGATACGATCGTGAAATGCTTCGCCGATAATTGCAGTCGGATCCGACGCTACGCAGTAATGGCTTCTTTTTTCATGTGTAACGAGCGTTGTAATCGCCCTAAATGTAATTCGCAATAGGGCTCTAAGAGTGATTTAACACGCAGGTGGAGCTAAAATCCCGCGGAAGCCATTGTCACCTTGCTCGCTCCCACCATTAATAAATTTCCAATTGATTTAGTGTCCCTGTGGCAACAATATCCTTTTTTTTTCATTTTTTTCAAGATGAAGAAGCAATTCCCTCCCTCCCCCCCCCCATCCTTCCAGGGGTGTTAATTTAATGGGTCCGATATTCCCTTTGGATATTCCCGGGCTGAAGTCTTTTTAAATATCTGGGAATCGATCTTTTCCCGCCTCCAGCGGCTGGCCGCCCCCATATCCGTTGCTTCTGCTTCATCTGAGTGTTAGTTCGTGGTTGGGTCGATATGGCAGCATTTAGAGTGATAGTTTCTCCTCATTCAACGTCTAAGTTGCCTTGTTTTGACTTGTTTTCATCTTATTGAGTAATATATTGATGTTTTTTTTGCATTTAACCGAACATGCTTCTGAGAAAATGAATAGGATTCAAGACTAACAATAAATGATGGTCGTTGATTTATGTTCTAACCGGCAACTCCTCTGGCCATAATGTAGGCTCCGCCCACCCTCTCCCCTCATATCAAACCTCGCAAGCTGATTGGTTCTCGCAAAGACCGCCCCTTGTAACTTATGCTCGATGCTAGAGTCAGCAGAATAAACAATACTGAATTATTCATTAAGTTACCACCTAGTATGCTGCAAATATACGCACTATTTAGTGCAATGTGAACCCTCTGCATGAGAATAAATTAATATCGTTATCGCGCTATAGTTATAGAGGGAAGTAATATATAATGGAAATATGCAACGTGGCAACTCGACCAGTGGCCAGTAAGCCCTGATGAGTTTTGAAGTCGGTCGCGTGGGACTAATGGAGCTATAGCATCTGGGGAAGAGATAGAGGGAAGCAAGTGACAGAACCAATTAGAGTACAAATAGTCTCGACCGCAGAGCCTAGCCCACTATCCCACCTCCCCTTGCTCCAGCGACGCCCTCCGCTTCTCTCGCACTCTCTCTCGCGAGAGCCGAGGGGAAACACACAAGGGGAACTTGAGAGTTTGTGAAGAGCGCTTTCGCACGTGTGATCGTTTGGCCCCCCGACACCAGGAACTTTGTGGTGAGTGGAGGACTCTTGAGAGCCGAAGTTGACGTGGACTAGTTAACGGTCGCGATGATTTGAAGACTCTGTGTTAACGCGGAAGTTTCGTTACGTTGTAGTAACCGAATTTTGAATGTAGTTTGCCGGCCGTTTATGCAGATAGAGACGGGGAAATACCTTACTGTTATGGAGACTTTGATCAAGATGGAAAAGCCTGGTTCCCCTGATAGTCAGACTCAAACTGCGGCCTCCGTCACGCCTTTCTCCATCGCTGACATCCTTACTCGTATGGAGAACCACATGGAGAACCGCTCCCCTTCAGATCTGCGAACCACTCCGGACCACCACAGGAGCCTCGGAGACCTTCGAAGCTCCCCAAGCCTGGGTTTCAGGCCTGTTTCGATCCTCAAATATAACTCTCCCTCTCCCATGGATCTCTCTAAGGACTCCACGCACCAAGAAGTGAGTTCGTCGATGGAACCGTCGCCAGGAGAACCCATAAGAACCTCCATCCGGTCCACGGGGGGTAGAGAGGCGACGTCGTCTCCTGAAGGCTTCAGCTTACTCGGTAGGAGAAGCAGGTCGACTTCGCCCTGTTCGGAGATGAGCATGGAGGAGGTAGACACCGAACACAGCGATAGGGAAGACATCGTTCTCGCCTCCGCTCAGGACTCCGTTAGCACCGAAGGGAAAGGTGAGTGAGGGGCTAGTAATGTAGCCCTCGTTGTTAGTGAGGGGAGTTATTGTGTTTACGATCTCGTTAGTGAGGGGAGGTATTGTGTTTGCGATCTCGTTAGTGAGAGGAAATGGGGAGGTAGTATTCCATCCCCTGCGTTGTTTGTGATTGACTACGACCTCTCCTCGTTAGTGACATATGTAATTGATGTACAAACTCCTCATTGTTAATGATACAACTTCTGACCAAAACTTCCTTCGTTATTGGTGAGTTAGTGAAGTGGGTATTATCTTAATTGTACCCTCGTTATTAGTGATAGATCTTGCGTATACGACCCGCTCCCCCCCCCTCGCTGTAATTGAAGGGGTTATAACGAGCCTACGATCCCCTCATTAACTCAATAAATGACACTGGTACATCCAAACTAACATTAGCATAAGCTTTACTAGTAACGAACTTGTGTTGGTAAATCGCCCCCTTAACGACCTGATAGTTTACAATCGCCTTGTTTCTGTTCCCGTTAACTAGTTACCCGTTAACTAGTTAGTACGATCACATAACGCCGCCCGTTGGAGCTAGTACACGTGGTAACTAGTGCCACATGTAATTAGTAGTAATAGTGGTAGTAGTTAATTACTTAGTTAAGTAATTAGTTATAATTAGTACTCCGAGAATAACATACAAGTACAGTACACGTGTCAATTTTTCTGAGGCGTTCCTGTTTTTGTGATAATTTTGCTTTGTTTTTGTTTCTTTATAAGGTCTACTTCCTATTTAATTTCCATGCCTATTTCTTATCAAAGTGTTCAGTGAGGATCCACAAGGTCTTCTCTGAGTACTCTTTATTTTCTTCTCCGAGGCTATGGGTCCCTACACTTGCACCAGAGGTGGTATCCCTTCTAGGTCCTGTTTCTTATGTATTTTGAAAGCCCATTTCATGGTGTAATTTCAAAGACTTTTCTCCTTTGATTTTATTTAATACAAAATTTGCTTTGTAATTTTTAAGAATATTTAAATATAAGAATCCTGTGAATTTGAAAATTTTATTTCACGTTTCATTTGAGCCAATTTCGTAGAGTAATTGTTACGAAAATTTCCTGTAACTATTTCAAGTTAATGTTAGTTATTTCAAGTTAGTTTCAAGTTCCTTGGTTGTAGTGCCTATTTAATGAGTGCCTTTAGAGCGTAAATCCTATCTCTCCATAGACTATTTTAAGTACTATTATAGATGCATTTCCAGTCTTAAGCTTTAAAGCCTAAATTCTGTTGTTGTTCTACTGTTTATTCGCCCTATTTTGATTCTAGATTTGATGCCAATCCCATTTACGAAACAGGTGCATCTTTCCTCAATCCTGGCGGCTGTATTTGTATTAATTTAGCAATTTATGAGCTTCGCATAACTACGAGGTTGTTTACAACAGTAATAACCTTGGGTTATGAAGTTTACAACCTCATAAACTGTTTAATATATGTAAACAATGTCGTTATTGATGAGGTCATTAATGCGGTCAGTGATCTAGTTAGTAACCCGGTCAATAACATGTTCAAGAGTCTCGTTAGTGACCAGGCCTCTGGTCACAGGCCTGGTTATTGACCTGATCAATAACCAGGTGACCTACTTCTCAGTTTGCGACACAGCCTATTTCCTGTGTCGCTCCACAGCCTATTTCCTGTGTCGTTCCACAGCCTATTTCCTGGGTCGTTCCACAGCCTATTTCCTGGGTCGCTCCACAGCCTATTTCCTGGGTCGCTCCACAGCCTATTTCCTGGGTCGTTCCACAGCCTATTTCCTGTGTCATTCCACAGCCTATTTCCTGGGTCGCTCCACAGTATTTCCTGCGGGGCTTCACAGTCCATTTCCTGAGCCTATTGACTGTTTGAGTCGTCGGGAGTTTGCTATGCTCTCCACAGCGTGTTTAGTGTCTTATTTCACAGCTTATTTTCTGTGTCACATGACAACCTATTGTCATGTGACACAGAAAATATCTTAACCTATTTGTCATTCTATAGCTTCCGTGAATTGTAATTTTGGGATGATTAATTGCAGCTTTAATTATGGGAGTGTTTAACCCTTAATTCTGAACTTTCAATGATCTTCAAAATACGTCAAAATGATATCCAGTTTCCTGAGATATTCAACTTCCTATTTCTATCTCATTTAGGAGCAGACGTTCTTTGCTATCTTCAAGTTTTAAGACATTTAGATAGCAACTTGCAACTAAGGAGACCATATAATATTTTGTTATCGTGTTGCTTCCATATATCGTCCGGTCAGTTCGTTAAGAGATAATGCATCGGCTTTCTGGCCTGGACAAAATCGATCATTTAGTACGTAAATCACATAATTCATTTTTCTTTCCTAGACAAAATTAGTCATTTAATGCGGTAATCTTAATCTATCGTCTATTTCCGTGACAAAATCGATCATTCAATGCGTGAATCACATAATTCGTCCTGTCTGTCACGGACAAAATCCATCATTCCATGCGTTAAATACAAAATTTTTGCTATCCTGGACAAAATTTTTGCTATCTTGGACAAAATTCATGCTCTCTTGGACAAAATTTTTGCTGTCTTGGACAAAATTTTGGCTATCTTGGACAAAATTTTTGCTGTCTTGGACAAAATTTTTGCTATCTTGGACAAAATTCATGCTCTCTTGGACAAAATTTTTGCTATCTTGGACAAAATTTATGCTCTCCTGGACAAAATCGGTCAATCTAAGCGTAAATAACGTAAGTAGTGCGCATATAAATTCCCGGGTATTTAACGCATACATGCGCTAAATACCGCATGTTATGCGTGTCTGAAACTGGTCCCCATTTGCGACATTTTCTCACCTCATTGCAATTGATCGTTTCGTACACATCTTTGCAATTTATCATTTCGCACCTCGATACAACTGATAATTTCGTACCTCATTGCAACTGATAATTTCGTACCTCATTGCAACTGATAATTTCGTACCTCGTTTCAACTGATAATTTCGTACCTTATTGCAACTGATAATTTCGTACCTCATTGCAACTGATAATTTCGTACCTCATCGCAGCTGATCGTATCTTGTATACGAAAATGGGTCTCTCAAATGCTTTCGTAATTATTATGGCGAAGATATGAATCTTTCGTATTTTGGATTGAGTCTTATCTCACTTGGTGACTTACGACAAGATCGTAAGTGTTACATCGTAAGAGGAACGCCTGGTATTCACCATAAAGACTAGAGTCATCGTATATCTGTGTTTGGACGCTACGTCGCATTGCTTATCCAGCCCGTCCTCATAAGGTTCCCCTACGTCAAGAAGCCGTCGTATTAACGTCCCCCCTCTTATCCTAACCTTCCAGAGGACCCAAAACAGAAAACGGGACAGTATGTCAATTTCGCCAGCCGCTAAATTTTGTTAGTACGACGATTTTTGGCTATAGGTAGACTATACGTCAAAATGCGACGTTCTATTAGGAGGACGGGTTAGTCTGACGCCACATACGTGTGTGGCGTCAGACGTAACGACTAATTCGTCGATTAGACGTTAAGGTTCCATGCGTTAAATACACAATTTTGGCTATCTTGGACGAAATTCATGCTCTCTTGGACAAAATTTTGGCTATCTTGGACAAAATTCATCCTCTCTTGGACAAAATTTTGGCTATCTTGGACAAAATTTATCCTCTCTTGGACAAAATTTTGGCTATCTTGGACAAAATTCATGCTCTCCTTGGACAAAATTTTGGCTATCTTGGACAAAATTTTGGCTATCTTGGACAAAATTTTGGCTATCTTGGACAAAATTCATCCCCTCTTGGACAAAATTTTGGCTATCTTGGACAAAATTTTGGCTATCTTGGACAAAATTTTGGCTATCTTGGACAAAATTTTGGCTATCTTGGACAAAATTTTGGCTATCTTGGACAAAATTTTGGCTATCTTGGACAAAATTTTGGCTATCTTGGACAAAATCGGTCCTAACCACAGTCTTAAAAAAAAAAAAGTCTGGTCCTAACCACGCACTCAGACGTTGACAAAGCACTCAGAAGAGTGCAAAAGACTTTATATAATTACATAAATTTCACAATTACATAAATGAGGATTTCTACCCAATAATAATTAATATTGAGACAAAAATACTTCCTTAATCTACACCTATAGCTCTAAAAAAAAAAAAAAAATCGAATAGGGCTTTATAGCGAGTGTATAGCAGTGTGATATCATAATGTTATCAATCAATTTAGAGTTTTCAATATATAGCGACTGTATAGCAGTGTGATATCATAATGTTATCAATCAATTTAGAGATTTCAATATATCACATCACTCCTTCAAAATTCGACCACGGATAGCGAGTGTATAGGAGTTAGTGTGATATCATAATTTAATCAATCAATTTAGAGTTTTCAATATATAGCGACTGTATAGCAGTGTGATATCATAATGTTATCAATCAATTTAGAGATTTCAATATATCACATCACTCCTTCAAAATTCGACCACGGATAACGAGTGTATAGGAGTTAGTGTGATATCATAATTTAATCAATCAATTTAGAGTTTTCAATTTATAGCGACTGTATTAGCAGTCAGTGTGATATCATAATGTAATCAATCAATTTAGAGATTTCAAGATATCACATCAACCCTTCAAATGACCTCAACAATTGCTGCCATGAAAGAATCTTTAACAAATGCTTTCATTATACATCGGTGGTCAATACTGTCATTATGTAATTCCCGTCTGTGGGGAAAAATCTATTTCATTATGTTTCATTATTTATTGAATATGATGTTCAGATCATATTCATATTCATATTTTTCGTTGTTGAAAAACATACGATTTTTGGGATTGATTTTATGGGTGAAAATATGCTATTAAAATTACGACATTTGACCGGCGTTCTGTCCACTGGACAAATTGTAGGTAATTGTCCGATGTATTGTACGTTTTCCGGAATGTTAAGAATTTCGTACATCGGTGCAACTGATAATTTCGTACCTCGGTGCAACTGATAATTTCGTACCTCGGTGCAACTGATAATTTCGTACATCGGTGCAACTGATAATTTCGTACACCGGTGCAACTGATAATTTCGTACACCGGTGCAACTGATAATTTCGTACCTCAATGCAACTGATAATTTACATAAGCAATTATTCGTTACACAATGAGTGGTTGGTGGCAATGCTGTTCACCGCCTCTGAGGGCCATTGTAGTGGACACAACTAAGTGAACCACACACACACATGCAGAGCACAAATCACCACGTACGTGAGACAAGTTCAAGAGTACGCAGCACCGTCCTGGACTGCCCTCTCAGGCAGCACACAACCCAGCTCGAAAAGGACCAGCATTTTCCCCACGAAGAGAGGTTGAAGAAGCTGAACCTAAGACGCCTAAAGGAAATAAGATAAAAAGGAGACATGATAGAGACATATATAATACCTAAGGTAATTTTTTTTCCTGTAAATACCAGAAGAACAATACGAGCCACAGGTGACGTTTAGAACATGTTCAATGAACGGATGAACTAGGATGAACAGAGAGCTAGATGAAGTTTTTATTCATGCTTTTAAAAGTAGAAATATAATATTAGACCTGTAGGTCAGACTTTCATTAGACGATTGACTGCGGGATAAGCGGGGGATCAAGAGCTGAAGCCCGACACTGAAGGTCCGTATAAACGAGCAGATACACTAGGTGAGCACAACTTGGTGAGTGAACAGAACGACCACAGTTAAAATAATGGCGATTTTAACACCTTTTTTTACATCTGTAACTAATTTCATATCAATGTTAATGGCGTCATAAACCCATTAATGGGTTATGGAGCCGCGAGATCAACGCCATAACCTTGTTCTAATGACGGGTTACTGATCGTTTGTTGTGGACGAGCTCATCTAATACCTTAAGGGAAGGGAACTATGAGGGGAAAGCGCCTAAGCCATTACGACTATAACCTTAAGGGAAGGGAACTATGAGGGGAAAGCGCCTAAGCCATTACGACTATATAGCACTGGGAAGGGGTCAGGATAAGCACCATTTGGTCACCACTTGGTCCGGGAGACATCTCCCGTCACGCAGGGTGCAGTTGCGCCTCCACAGATCTCCAGTATCATCTTTTGATACTGGTAATGGCTCGAAAGGGCCACCACTTACGGGCTATTCATGCCCGTGCCACCTCTTGGGTGGCTTAATCTTCATCAATCAATCAATCAATCAGGATAAGGATTTTGGGATGGGACGGGGGAAAGGAATGGTGCTCAACCACTTCTGTGAACGGTCGGGCATTCAACGCCGACCTGCATGAAGCGAGACCGTCGCTCTACCGTCCAGCCCAAGTGGTTGGGCATCTAATGCCTTAAATGTTAAGGGAATTATGAGGAGAATGAGCTAAGCCGACAGGGAAAGGAATAACAGAACAGGATTGCAGCTGGGATAGGATTAAAGGAACTACTCAACTACTACCGAGTAACAACGTTGTTGTCTGGGTCATCGGGGGATCGAACGCCGACCTGCACGCAGCAAGGTCGTCCCTCTACCGGCCAGTATAGAGGATTTTTTTTTTTCAATTTTGTTTAATGTCAATAACGTTGACAAAAAATTTGGTAAGGCTTACTACTGTTGGAAGTTGACTCAGAAAGATATCCGAATTCATCAGAAGATATCAGAAGCTGTTATCTTACCAGAAGGTGCCACTGATGGTTAAGTGATCACGGATCTCATCAGCGAATCAAAATCATCACTCCAAGTAAATAACCACTTCATTTTAGCCTCCAAGTACGTCGGTATATATATATATATATATATATATATATATATATATATATATATATATATATATATATATATATATATATATATATATATTTATATACCGGAGGTATATATAAAAATATTAATATTTTTATATTTTTCTTGCAGTGGGTGGTGACCGTGGCGTGGGGGACCAGCTTGTCCTTCCTAGTGTATATTGTAACTAATTACGGTGTCAAATGGAATATTAATTCTTATAATGTTCCTGTTGCATAGATTCAGGGAGCAATAGTATGGTTGTCATTCATCTGTGTGTGTGTGTGTGTGTGTGTGTGTGTGTGTGTGTGTGTGTGTGTGTGTGTGTGTGTGTGTGTGTGTGTGTGTGTGTTCCAGCTGATTTTTATACCGGAAATAACGTATTTCCTCCGTTACGGAGCACTGGAGGACAAACATTGCCTCTTTCCGTAGCTCTTTCTTAAGTTCCCTGTGTTCTGAACCAGGGCATTCTTACTACAGTTTGTTTCTGTTTTTAATATCCACGATTCCAATATTATCTATATATAAATTTGAATGTCTGTTCGAGGTTCGAGGCCAAACGCAAGGGGCTAGACTCACCCAACTTTGCACCCTGATTCCTGTGGGGTATATGTCCATCATAGATGGGTTGAGTTTGTGAAAATTTAAGAGGAATCAGTGTGCTACAGACACATACTCACCCCGATATGATTTTGGCCGTTGTGGAATTAGATGGATAAATAGTTGGATGGATAGATAGGTGAGTAGGTGCATGGATAAGATGGTGAGAAATCTTATATATTAAGATTATATGAAGACCAGTTTTTCTTTTAATTTAATTATAGAAATGGGGTAAAATGGGCCTCATTGCAATGTGTTTATATTACAAGAGGAATCAAAATTATAATCTCACTTATCCAAGATATAACTCACGTCATTTATCCATTTATCCTCGACCACAGACAGGATGGATCTCCTGTCTGTGCAGTCTGCTTCAGGGAGCACCAATTAACCTCAGTCTATTTACACTAAGTACGAAATCAATTTTCTTGGAGCTTAACAACTTAAGGAACGTCTATGTGGAAGTGCAGTTGAAGGATGCACTTGTTATGTTGTTCCATTGCAGAGAAGGGGGGGGGGAGGGAGATTATGGGTAAATGCACTTGCAATATCCATACTGTCTCTTAATATCCACCTCGTATGATATCGACGTTGTCTAATATCCACCTCGTTTAATATCGATTTCGTCTAATATCCACCTTATTTATTATCGATTTCGTCTAATATCCACCTCGTCTAATATCGATTTCGTCTAATATCCACCTCGTCTAATATCCACCTCGTCTAATATCCACTTCATCCAACAGCCACCCTGTCTAATATCCACCTCGTCTAATATCCACCTCGTCTAATATCCACCTCGTCTAATATCCATCTCGTCTGTCTTTCGGCAGGAGACGCAGGAGAGAGCGAACGAGCGCCAAGGAAGAAGCGATGCCGAGCGGCGTTCAGTCATGCGCAGGTATTCGAACTGGAGAGGCGATTCGCTCACCAGCGGTACCTATCGGGGCCCGAGAGAGCCGACCTGGCCCAGGCCCTTAAACTCACCGAACAACAGGTGAGTCCCCTAAAGACCCTTAGCCTCGGGGAAGAAAATAAAAAGTATTCAGAGAAGATTTCACTAATTTCTTCTCCTAACACCATTATTCTTTTTTCTAAATTTTATTATATATATTTTTTTTTATCCACAGTAAAAGGGAAGGTATTGGTATTGTATGGGTGTTTCTGTGGATTGGAAATGATTGGATTAGCGATTGTGGGAGAAGTGTATTTAATGTGTTCAAAAGTGGATTTGTGATTCAAACTTTGCAAAAAAAAAAACTAACTAATCGATATTTTGCAATTGTTTCTGTGACTCATACTGTTGTTAGTCTGTGTATTTGTTAGTCTGTTAATCTGTTCATCTGATGGTATGCTAATCTGTTGATCTCTTAGACTGTTATCACTCTAGCGTTTGAACGGCTTTTCAGATTTAAATGAAAACTAAACCAATGCTAAGTTATATTATTTCATATAATATTATAGATGCTATAATATCATTTCAACATTACCATACCAGTTAAGTGAGCGAATGTTAAATATAATTATTTTATAGGGATTTATCGAGCTCCGTTCAGTTCATTGATTTTAATTTTGAGACTGGAAACATATTTTGAAAGCAAGCAGAACTTTTCCGTGATTGACTAATGGGCATACTCTTCATCGATCAGTACGCAGGCGATGAGTCACAATAACGTGGCTGAAGTATGTTGACCAGACCACACACTAGAAGTTGAAGGGACGACGACGTTTCGGTCCGTCCTGGACCATTCTCAAGTCGATTGTCATTCTCTTCATCGATCAGTAGTCAGTGTATGAAGCTGTATATTCACTGAGAAGACCAATTTGGTTCAGTCTGTGCTAATGTACAGTTTTAGGTTGTTGTTGTTAAAGATTTACAACCTGGAATGTAAAATTCCAAGTAGCACGGGCTATGGTGAGCCCGTAGGCCTTCAGTTTTAGGTGAGGATCGGTTTTGTAAGGTTAGGTTACATTAAGATCAATTAGATTAGGTTAGATTAATATAGGTTATGATCGATAAGAGCTGATTTTGTTAGCTTAGGTTCAGTTAGATTTGGTTAGGATAAGGTTGTTAGTTGAATTTTTTTTTTTTTAGGTTAAAATAGCTAGGTTAGGTTTGGGTAGAGTTGTTAAGACTGGGTCTCGTTAGGTTAGGTTAAGTTGGGTTGTATTAGGTAAAGTAGTTATATATTTCGGGTAGTTAAGGGCATCGTGATTGTAATATCTCTCTGTCTTCTCTCTCTCTCTCTCTCTCTGTCCTCTCTCTCTCTCTCTCTCTCTCTCTCTCTCTCTCTCTCTCTCTCTCTCTCTCTCTCTCTCTCTCTCTCTCTCTCTCTCTCTCTCTCTCTCTCTCTCTCTCTCTCTCTCTCTTTTACCTTCCCCTTTTTCTCCTACTTACTCACTTTCTCTTTACTCTCCTCCTCTTCCAACATCACCTATCTCCTCCCCTTCTCTCCCCTCCCTTCGTCCCCTCCCCTCGCCCCCCCCCTCTCCCCTCCTCTCCTTTTTTGCGCCAAAAACGTTAAGTTGGCGAAGCAGAACATGGGATTACACAGATCCATAATTCACGGGTCTTTAACCTGGGGTCGGGCGCAGATTTGATTAATTTCGTGATTTTTTTTTTTTTTTTGGCCTTTAAGGATTTGCTCTTGGTAGTTGACCAACAGCGGACGGGCAGTAAACCAGTATTAAACCTGTATTAAACCTGTATTAAACCTGTATTAAACCAGTATTAAACCTGTATTAACCCTGTATTAAACCTGTATTAAACCTGTATTAGACCTGTATTAAACCTGTATTAAACCAGTATTAAACCTGCATTAACCCTGTATTAAACCTGTATTAAACCTGTATTAAACCAGTATTAAACCTGTATTAAACCTGTATTAAACCTGTATTAGACCTGTATTAAACCTGTATTAAACCTGTATTAAACCTGTATTAGACCTGTATTAAACCTGTATTAAACCTGTATTAAACCTGTATTAGACCTGTATTAAACCTGTATTAAACCTGTATTAAACCTGTATTAAACCAGTATTAAACCTGTATTAAACCTGTATTAAACCTGTATTAGACCTGTATTAAACCTGTATTAAACCAGTATTACACCTGTATTAAACCTGTATTAAACCTGTATTAGACCTGTATTAAACCTGTATTAGACCTGTATTAAACCTGTTTTAAACCAGTATTAGACCTGTATTAGATCATTTATGACGCAATAATTAACCTTCCCCCATCCCGTGTTCTGTCGTTAGCGAACCAGCATTAAGACGTTGGTCTCTTTCTCCTCTCAGGTGAAGATCTGGTTCCAGAACCGCCGGTACAAGACTAAGAGGAAGCAGTTGGTGGCCTGTGAACCGCCCTCTTCAGGCAGACGCGTCGCAGTTAAGGTAACTATCCGGTTCTATGCCTCCTCTCCTGTCTGTCTGTCTGTCTGTCTGTCTGTCTGTCTGTCTGTCTGTCTGTCTGTCTGTCTGTCTGTCTGTCTGTCTGTCTGTCTGTCTGTCTGTCTCTGTCTGTCTGTCTGTCTGTCTGTCTGTCTGTCTGTCTGTCTGTCTGTCTGTCTGTCTGTCTGTCTGTCTGTCTGTCTGTCTCTGTCTGTCTGTCTGTCTGTCTGTCTCTGTCTGTCTGTCTGTCTGTCTGTCTGTCTGTCTGTCTGTCTGTCTGTCTGTCTCTGTCTGTCTGTCTGTCTGTCTGTCTGTCTGTCTGTCTGTCTGTCTGTCTGTCTGTCTGTCTGTCTGTCTGTCTGTCTCTGTCTGTCTGTCTGTCTGTCTCTGTCTGTCTGTCTGTCTGTCTGTCTGTCTGTCTGTCTGTCTGTCTGTCTGTCTGTCTGTCTGTCTGTCTGTCTGTCTGTCTGTCTGTCTCTGTCTGTCTGTCTGTCTGTCTCTGTCTGTCTGTCTGTCTGTCTGTCTGTCTGTCTGTCTGTCTGTCTGTCTGTCTGTCTGTCTGTCTGTCTGTCTGTCTGTCTGTGTCTGTCTCTGTCTGTCTGTCTGTCTGTCTGTCTGTCTGTCTGTCTGTCTGTCTGTCTGTCTGTCTGTCTGTCTGTCTGTCTGTCTGTCTGTCTCTGTCTGTCTGTATGTCTGTCTGTCTGTCTGTCTGTCTGTCTGTCTGTCTGTCTGTCTGTCTGTCTGTCTGTCTGTCTGTCTGTCTGTCTGTCTCTGTCTGTCTGTCTGTCTGTCTGTCTGTCTGTCTGTCTGTCTGTCTGTCTGTCTGTCTGTCTGTCTGTCTGTCTGTCTCTGTCTGTCTGTCTGTCTGTCTGTCTGTCTGTCTGTCTGTCTGTCTCTGTCTGTCTGTCTGTCTGTCTGTCTGTCTGTCCTCACCTAGTTGTGCTTACGGGGGTTGAGCTCTGGCTCTTTGGTCCCGCCTCTCAACTGTCAATCAACTGGTGTACAGGTTCCTGAGCCTATTGGGCTCTATTATATCTATACTTGAAGCTGTGTATGGAGTCAGCCTCCACCACATCACTGCCTAATGCATTCCATTTGTCTACTACTCTGACACTGAAAAATTCATTTTAATGTCTTTATGGCTCATTTGGGTACTCAATTTCCACCTGTGTCCCCTAATTGATCTACTCTATCAATTCCTTTGAGAATCTTTTATGTGGTGATCATGTTCCTCCCTAACTCTCCTGTCTTCCAGCGACGTGAGGTTTAAATCCCGTGGTCTCTCCTCGTAGCTCATACCTCTCAGCTCGGGTACTAGTCTGGTGGTAAACCTTTGAACCTTCTCCAGTTTAGTCTTATTCTTGACGAGATATGGACTCCATGCTGGAGCTGCATACTCTAGGATTGGTCTTACATATGTGGTATACAAGGTTCTGAATGATTTCTTACATAAGTTTCGAAAGGCCGTTCTTATGTTGGCCAGCCTGGCATATGCCGCTGATGTTATCCTCTTGATATGGGCTGCAGGGAACAGGTCTGGCGTGTTATCAACCCCCAGATCTTTCTCTCTGATTCTTGAAGAATTTAATCTCCCAAATGATACTTTGTATCTGGCCTCCTGCTTCCTACACCTATGCTTTATAATAAAAAAAAAAAAACTATCTTTATTAAATTACATTTGTTCGGGTTAAACTCTAACAACCATTTGTTCGACCATTCCTGCAGCTTGTCCAGGTCTTCTTGAAGCCTCAAGCTGTTCTCCTCTGTCTTAATCCTTCTCATAATTTTGGCGTCGTCAGCAAACATTGAGAGGAATGAGTCTATACCCTCTGGGAGATCATTTACGTATATCAGAAACAGAATAGGTCCGAGTATAGAGCCCTGTGGGACTCCACTGGTGACTTCACGTCAATCTGAGGTCTCACCCCTCACTATAACACTCTGTTTCCTATTGCTTAGGTACTCCCTTATCCACTTATCTGTCTGTCTGTCTCTCTATTATAATTTATCCACTATATATTATGCCTGCTCCTGCACCCCGTCTCTTTCATTCTCTCTCTCTCTCTCTCTCTCTCTCTCTCTCTCTCTCTCTCTCTCTCTCTCTCTCTCTCTCTCTCTCTCTCTCTCTCTCTCACACTATTCCACAATGTCTCTCACTACTCCACAATGTCCCTCACTACTCCACAATGTCCCTCACTACTCCACAATGTCTCTCACTACTCCACAATGTCCCTCACTACTCCACAATGTCCCTCACTACTCCACAATGTCCCTCACTACTCCACAATGTCTCTCACTACTCCACAATGTCCCTCACTACTCCACAATGTCCCTCACTACTCTATTATGTCCCTCACTACTCCACAATGTCTCTCACTACTCCACAATGTCCCTCACTACTCCGCAATGTCTCTCACTACTCCACAATGTCCCTCACTACTCCACAATGTCCCTCACTACTCCACAATGTCTCTCACTACTCCACAATGTCCCTCACTACTCCACAATGTCCCTCACTACTCTACAATGTCCCTCACTACTCCACAATGTCTCTCACTACTCCACAATGTCCCTCACTACTCCACAATGTCCCTCACTACTCCACAATGTCCCTCACTACTCCACAATGTCCCTCACTACTCCACAATGTCCCTCACTGCCCCACAATGTCTCTCACTTCTCCACAATGTCTCTCACTACTCCACAATGTCTCTCACTACTCCACAATGTCTCTCACTACTCCACAATGTCTCTCACTACTCCACAATGTCCCTCACTACTCCACAATGTCCCTCACTACTCCACAATGTCCCTCACTGCCCCACAATGTCTCTCACTACTCCACAATGTCTCTCACTACCCCACAATGTCTCTCACTACTCCACAATGTCTCTCACTACTCCACAATGTCTCTCACTACTCCACAATGTCCCTCACTGCCCCACAATGTCCCTCACTACTCCACAAAGTCCCTGAACCAAACTACACTTCACCTGTATAAATTATTCCACTGTGAGGTCCCTCAGCCCATTAGGGGAGCGTGAAAATGGTTGTTCAGGTTGTCACGCATTGTCCTCCCCCCCCCTGTACCCCTTCCATCCCCCCTCCCTATTAATTCCCCTCTCTTTCCCCTCCCCTCACCCACCCCATTAATCCAACCCCAACTTTGCATCCACTCTATCGCCACCCCCATTAATAAGCATCTGTTTGCTCTCTCTCTCACTACCATTAATACCCGTATTTATACCCCTTTTCTTCCCCAAACCCCCCCATTAATACCCCCTTCTCTTTGACCCCTCCCCCTAGTGCAGTAAACACCCCCCTTCCCCTCTTTCCATCACCTGTTCCATCTATTCCCCTCTACTGTTCTTCAACGCTGTGACCAATATCCGTCTCTCTCTTGTTCCTCTATTACTGTTTCCCCTCTGAGTCTTTCCTCTCTCCTCTTATATGTTTCGTGTCTGGGTCGAGGCTCGCATGAAGATTCGTGAGTCGTGAGTCGTGAGTCGTGAGTCGTGAGTCATGAGTCGTGAGTCGTGAGTCGTGTGTCGTGAGTCGTGAGTCGTGTGTCGTGTGTCGTGTGTCGTGTGTCGTGAGTCGTGAGTCGTGAGTCGTGAGTCGTGAGTCGTGAGTCGTGAGTCGTGTGTCGTGTGGGTTGGCGATGCTTTTCATCTGTTTTGTGGAGTTTTAAGATGGGTAATTAATTTCCATTTTTTTCCATTATCTCGATATTCTATTTACCCGGTCTTACTCTCCCTCTCTCTCTCTCTCTCTCTCTCTCTCTCTCTCTCTCTCTCTCTCTCTCTCTCTCTCTCTCTCTCTCTCTCTCTCTCTCTCTCTCTCTCTCTCTCTCTCTCTCTCTCTCTCTCTCTCTCTCTCTCTCTCTCTCTCTCTCTCTCTCTCTCTCTCTCTCTCTCTCACTCTCTCTCTCTCTCTCTCTCTCTCTCTCTCTCTCTCTCTCTCTCTCTCTCTCTCTCTCTCTCTCTCTCTCTCTCTCTCTCTCTCTCTCTCTCTCTCATTACGTGATATTTAAAGGTGTTGGAGATTATATTTTTTTGGCAAGAGTTTAATTCTGAAGTAAATTTTTAAATTTTAGTAAATGTTAAATATTATTGGGTATTTAAGTTGATCCCTAAACCTCTACGTCAATTTTATTGTGGTTGCCTCTCTCACCACCCCCAGCTACCACCACCACTACTACCAGCACCACCACACCCCCACCCACCAACCACCACCAACCACCACCAACCACTCCCACCCTCACCACCCCCACCCACCACCAACCACCACCAACCACCCCCACCCACCAACCACCCCCACCCACCAACCACCACCCACCACCAACCACCACCAACCACCACCAACCACCACCTACCACCACCAACCACCATCAACCACTCCCACCCTCACCACCCCCACCTACCACCAACCACTACCAACCACCACCAACCACCACCCACTAACCACCACCATCTCTCCCTCAGGTATTGATGCGAGATGACCAGTTGCTCCACGGACCTGAGGAAGGTCTCCCAAGACCTCCGCTGCTCCTCCCGTCTCTAGCCTCTCTCAGCACCCTCAGCTCCCTCAGCTCACTCAGCTCATTGGGCATTCCCCCCTACTGCTACTACCCCTACCTCTGTCCGCCCCCTCACGCTGCAAGCTCCCCTCTCTCACCTCTCACACACCTGCCTCAACTCTCAGCTCTCTCTCCAGCTTCTCTCTCCTCTCTCTCCTCTTCTCTCTCCTCTCTCACCTCCTCTCTCCTGCCCCCCCATGCCCACTCCGCAGCGCCCTCTCCCACTCCAGTGGTCTCTACCAGTGGTGGAGGGGTGGCGAGACGCACTCCACAACCCCCCTCCCCCCCTCGCCCTTGAGTCTAGAGACACCCCATCACTCCCCACTGACAACTGAGATGCCCCATCACTCCCCACTGACAACTGAGATGCCCCATCACTCCTCACTGACAACTGAGACTCCCCATCACTCCCCACTGATAACTGAGATGCCCCATCACTCCCCACTGATAACTGAGATGCCCCATCACTTCCCCACTGATAACTGAGATGCCCCTTCACTCCCCACTGATAACTGAGACGCCCCATCACTCCCCACTGACAACTGAGACGCCCCATCACTCCCCACTGACAACTGAGACTCCCCATCACTCCCCACTGATAACTGAGATGCCCCATCACTTCCCCACTGATAACTGAGATGCCCCATCACTTCCCCACTGATAACTGAGACGCCCCATCACTCCCCACTGACAACTGAGACGCCCCATCACTCCCCACTGACAACTGAGTCTCCCCATCACTCCCCACTGATAACTGAGATGCCCCATCACTTCCCCACTGATAACTGAGATGCCCCTTCACTCCCCACTGATAACTGAGATGCCCCATCACTTCCCCACTGATAACTGAGACACCCCATCACTCCCCCACCGACAACTGAGACGCCCCATCACTCCCCACTGACAACTGAGACGCCCCATCACTCCCTACTGACAACTGAGACACCCCATCACTCCCACTGACAACTGAGACACCCCATCACTCCCCACTGATAACGGAGACGCCCCATCACTCCCCACTGACAACTGAGACTCCCCATCACTCCCCCACTGACAACTGAGACGCCCCATCACTCCCCACTGACAACTGAGACACCCCATCACTCCCCACTGACAACTGAGACACCCCATCACTCCCCACTGACAACTGAGACACCCCATCACTCCCCACTGACAACTGAGACACCCCATCACTCCCCACTGATAACTGAGACGCCCCATCACTCCCCACTGACAACTGAGACACCCCATCACTCCCCACTGATAACGGAGACGCCCCATCACTCCCCACTGACAACTGAGACACCCCATCACTCCCCACTGACAACTGAGACTCCCCATCACTCCCCCACTGACAACTGAGACTCCCCATCACTCCCCCACTGACAACTGAGACACCCCATCACTCCCCACTGATAACGGAGACGCCCCATCACTCCCCACTGACAACTGAGACACCCCATCACTCCCCACTGACAACTGAGACTCCCCATCACTCCCCACTGATAACGGAGACGCCCCATCACTCCCCACTGACAACTGAGACACCCCATCACTCCCCCACTGACAACTGAGACACCCCATCACTCCCCACTGATAACGGAGACGCCCCATCACTCCCCACTGACAACTGAGACACCCCATCACTCCCCACTGACAACTGAGACGCCCCATCACTCCCCCACTGACAACTGAGATGCCCCATCACTCCCCCGCTGACAACTGAGATGCCCCATCACTCCCCACTGACAACTGAGACGCCCCATCACTCCCCACTGACAACTGAGACACCCCATCACTCCCCCACTGACAACTGAGACACCCCATCACTCCCCACTGACAACTGAGACACCCCATCACTCCCCACTGACAACTGAGACACCCCATCACTCCCCCACTGACAACTGAGACTCCCCATCACTCCCCCACTGACAACTGAGACTCCCCATCACTCCCCACTGACAACTGAGACACCCCATCACTCCCCACTGACAACTGAACCTCATCCCCACTCCCCCAACACTGGCGTCTCTCTCCAGTGTTGTACTCCATCAACCAGCCTCTTCTTCAATCTCCACCCAGCACCACTATCACCTCCTTCACCATCAGGAAGGCTTCTCAAGCCTCTGAGTGCTCCAGCGTACCCAATCAGAAGCCAAGAGACATTCCCTTCGATCTGCTCTGATCGGTATACACGAAGCCATAAGCCATAACGGTACTTGAAGCCTCTGAACTTTCAAAAATGTCGCTAGAAATGCTGCATTTAGGTTTAAAAATTAGTGTGAGAGCACAATTGTGCTTTCAGTCTCTTCTGCGCAAGTGCTGTGGAGTTGCAAGCGACGGTTGCTTGTGGCTGAAGCGTGAACAGTCTCGCTATCTCCACTAGTGACGTGTTTCAGCGAAAGTTTGCAAGCAAGAACTAATCTTCGTTTGACAATTGTGTTCAGAAACTTGTGTGCAGAAAAGTTTCCCTCACAACGCTTTATTTACCTAGATGGAAAATCTAACCTTAGTGAGGGCTTCAGGTGAGATAAACTCCTCCTCACTGAGGCATTATATACGAGGAACATTTAAATATCTCTTGAGGACATATTTTGATGAACAAGCTACTTAATTAAAACGTCGTTTTAAGTGGACAAATTAGCTTTATATGGCCAGTATAAGTGAATAGACCTCTTAAAAGCCTCTTGGAAATGGTCAGATCTTACCCCTTAGGCCTTTGTAAGTGAATAAAGACATATTCTCTGTGAGATTTAACAAAGTGGATCGGTGAATTCCTTCATTGAAAAATGTGTTCAAGAACACAGGTGACAGGTGAGTGTATGCATGGCGAGGAGGACTTAAGATGAAGAGGTTAAGTCCTCAAGACACCATCAACACTCTGGAACTGACGTCACCTCACTCGTAACATCCTTACAATGTACATTATACATTGTACAGGAGAATATAGTGAATAGACCACATGCTACACAATTAAGAAAAAATGCATAACAAATATGTATAATATAATGACTCTGACAATACATACGATCAACACATTGAATTATCATATAAGTTTTTTCTTTAGATGAAAATAAATTTTATCTTACTGTAGATATTGTTTTAAATTGAGGAGAAGTGATGTTTATAGTTGACAGGAACTGTGGCATAGTTGACAGGAACTGTGCCATAGTTGACAGGAACTGTGGCATAGTTGACAGGAACTGTGGCATAGTTGACAGGAACTGTGGCATAGTTGACAGGAACTGTGACATAGTTGACAGGAACTGTGCCATAGTTGACAGGAACTGTGACATAGTTGACAGGAACTGTGACATAGTTGACAGGAACTGTGCCATAGTTGAGAGGAGCTGTGGCATAGTTGACAGGAACTGTGGCATAGTTGACAGGAACTGCGACATAGTTGACAGGAACTGTGCCATAGTTGACAGGAACTGTGGCATAGTTGACAGGAACTGTGGCATAGTTGACAGGAACTGTGCCATAGTTGACAGGAACTGTGGCATAGTTGACAGGAACTGTGCCATAGTTGACAGGAACTGTGCCATAGTTGACAGGAACTGTGCCATAGTTGACAGGAACTGTGACATAGTTGACAGGAACTGTGGCATAGTTGACAGGAACTGTGCCATAGTTGACAGGAACTGTGCCATAGTTGACAGGAACTGTGACATAGTTGACAGGAACTGTGACATAGTTGACAGGAACTGTGCCATAGTTGAGAGGAGCTGTGACATAGTTGACAGGAACTGTGCCATAGTTGACAGGAACTGTGCCATAGTTGAGAGGAGCTGTGACATAGTTGACAGGAACTGTGCCATAGTTGACAGGAACTGTGGCATAGTTGAGAGGAACTGTGCCATAGTCGAGAGAAACTGTGGCATAGTATTCCAGCCTCACTGTACCAAAGATATTTTGCCCCGTGTGAAACAGCGGATCGACAAGCATTCGATCCCGTGTTTTTTTTTTTAGTGTTTTGCTCTTAAGAGTTAAGTGACGTGAGTGGGCAGAGAGAGAGAGAGAGTGGTGAGTGAGCAGGCAATTTATTCGTGATTAATTCCTTGGTGTTCACACCTACTTGTCCCTTCAAGAGTCGTTTCACCATCTTGAGATATCTGTGGTTTGGTCATTACACCCACTCGGAAGTGCTCGTTAAACCATATATATTATTTTTCCACCATGCTCTCAAATACAAGGAAAGTGGAATGTAGAATTCCTCTTGGGAAGGTAATTAGGCTGTTCTGAAAGCTGTTTAAACTGTGAAATTAAGCTTGTTACAGGAAGCTGCTCTCACTTTTCCGAAGGAAGCTGTGATCGATCTCTTGACGAGAGATACAAACGGAACCTTTTTGGCAAAGGGAAGAGCATCATGACTCCCTCCCCAAGGTTAGCTTAGTTCCCTGAGGAATATCAGTCAGTTTCACCCAGAAAAAAAAATGTGAGGTCCCTGTGCCTTCACGAAGAAGACACCATGACGCGAGCCCCTGGAGGGTGTGTGTGTGTGTGTGTGTGGAAACATTCCTCAACTCCTGAAGGAGGGGACGACGGTGTTTACACCAAACATATCTCTTTTTAAACCATTATTATTATTATTATTATTATTCTCCCTGTATGTTGTAAAATATAACCCACTGTTGATGTTATGAGTGTGTGTTATTATCCTCGCTCAGGGGCCCCCCTCAAGTGTACTTGTACTATGTACTCTGTGCTAAGACAAAGTACATAGTACATACATACATAATTTTTAATTATTTATGTATATAATATTATGTATGTATTTTTACGTAATTCATACATCATTTTTACTATGATTTTGATGGTATTTGTTATCTTTACTGACAGGGCTGTTTAGTGTTAATATTGTTTGTATGTTTACCCTTACTAAAGGTTTTTTTATTGACACTGCTTGCACCGGCATCTTTACTGAGTGCAAACACTCCTAATCTTGTTTACACCAAAGTATTATTTTACGTATATGTTGAATTAAATTAGTCTTGCCTATACTTTTTCTACTGTGTCTACACACATATATATATATATATGACAGTGTCAGACCAAGGAGGAAAATTGAAACAGGAATTTCCTTAAGTACTTTCGTATTTCCTTTCGTAACAGGAAATTCCTGTTTCAATTTTCCTCCGTGGTCTGACACTGTCACATCTTTAATCACGTGTTTATTTTCGTGATATACACACACACACACACACACACACACACACATATATATATATATATATATATATATATATATATATATATATATATATATATATATATATATATATATATATATATATATATATATATATATATATATATATATATATACTACACCAAAGAGTAGTTACCGGCGCTCGCCAACTACCCTAATTACGATGCAATTTGACATATAATAGGAGTAAACAGTTACCTTGAGCCGTCAAATGAGAGAAAAATCAGGGTCCCATTATCACCAGGTTGTCGTAATGAGGCAGTGATCAACGTGCGTGATATATCATGAAGGGGGTTGAACAAGCAGGCTGTTGGTGGCGGGTGTCGGCCACCAGCAGGGGCTACCAACAGGTCAACATGGTCGTAAATCACTCCCTTACAGCGGATACGCCGGTCGTTAGCTGACGCCCAGGAAGTTGAAACGCCTCGTTACCCGACACGTCGTTATTAAACAACAACAAAAAACGGTTAAACTATGCCTTAAAAGCTAATAAAATCCCAAATCTTGTTAATACGTAATGAGTAAATGATCAGAGGACTATAAAATTCTTGTGAGAGGTGTGGGAGAAGGTGTTTTAAAAGATTGTTATCGATACACTCACACTCACACACACACTCACACAAGTAATGGGTGGGATAATATGTCTCTTCCCCCAGTGCTAAACGCCAGTCACCACAGTCTGCCTGAGCAGACAGCCAGCAGCAGAACAACGCCCTGGAGCGTAAAAACCGAGCCCCTGGAATTGAGAGTTATTAAAGTAAGTACAGGTTAAGTAACATTTTAATCCCGACGAAATAAATCCTTCTCCCCCCCCTCCTCGGATTGGGAGTGGTGGAGTTTGGCTTACAGCTGGACGGGGACTGTCAATTTGACCCCTTTTTTTGACAGCCGGGTGAGTTTTGACGTTCCGGGTCGGGGATGAGGTCACGCCGGAACACGCGTTGATTGCCGGTTAGTGATGGTAAAATTATATATTGAATGTGTCGGGTCAAGGAACACCTTTTGGGCTGTGATTAATTTTTTTGTTTTTTAATCGATTTTCGATATATTTCCCTGTTCGACTTGCTATCACACTTTCCTGATTAAATCAGAGAGAATGAAACAGGCTGCAATAGATAAACTAAGACATTGACAGATAACCAGAGAAATAGACAATAGATAACCAGAGAAATAGATAATAGACAGATATCAACAGAGGCAGCGATATATAAAGGGAGGCAGAGGCAGAATAACAGAAAGAGACAGGGAGAGACCGATAGCCAGAGAAAGATAGGGGAAAAAGATAGCTAGAAAGGTATTCTTTAGATGTTTTATTATTAAAATTGAAGTTGTAAATACTGTTAATTTGCATATGTGACTTGAATGCTGCATATGTGACTTGAATGCTGCATATGTGACTTGAATGCTGCATATGTGATTTGAATGTAGCATATATGATCTGAATGCTGCATATGTGATTTGAATGTAGCATATATGATCTGAATGCTGCATATGTGATTTGAATGCTGCATATGTGATCTGAATGTAGCATATGTGATCTGAATGTAGCATATATGATCTGAATGCAGCATATGTGATCTGAATGCAGCATAGTGCCTCTTGTATTTAGCCCACTGCAATTTTCATCTGATTAGTTCAAAAATGCTTAACACACTGAAACACAAACGCACATTAAAGAAAAAAACTGTAAATTTTGACTAGATCCTTATAAGCATCTTGAGGCAACAATCAGATTCCAATTCAAAGACTCTCAGCTCCGAGGTCTGATTGGTGATGCAATCTGCCAAGTCTGATTGCTCGTTAACACACGATTATAGATTCGTAAGACTTTGAAAGAACCAACAAGAATGGTTCTTTGGAAGTGGGGTTTCGAAACACCTTTTGTATGCAGTATTATGTTAGGAGAAAAACTGGCTATTAAGTTGGTGTTTATCAAATTGGATTCTGAATTCTGAATTCTGAATTCTGAATTCTGAATTCTGAATTGCCTCGTATGGGCCAATAGGCCTTCTGCAGTTGCCTTTGTTCTTATGTTCTTATTCCAATTTTGGACTTCCACTGAAGAATAGCGAGAAAGGAATATACATTTTTTCACTTGAGGAGCTAAACAGTGACTTGTTTTGAGTTTTGAGTACGAAGCTAAGGTAGTTGTTGTTGTTGTTGTTTCAGATTAAGCTACTCAGAACGAGGTGTCCATGTAGCACGGCAACCCGTTCTCCCACTTGTTTATAGTCAATATTGGCTTATTTAATAAGTGCGTATGTGACATACTAATTGATTGTGAATATTTTAGTTTACCTTGAAAAGCTTCATAGAAAACACCGACCTAACCTAACCTTCTTAGTATGTTAAGATAAGCATCTTATTGCTTCTTGATTACAATTATTACTTAATCTATACCGTTGATAGGTTAAGTAATAATTGTAAAGAAGCAACAAAATGCTTAACATACTAAGAAGGTTAGGTGAGGTCGGTGTTTTCTATGAAGCTTTTCAAGGTATACTAATTGATTATGAATATTTTAGTTTGTCACATACGCACTTATTAAATAAGCCAATATTGACTATAAGCAAGTGCGAGAACGGGTTGAGCACGGGCTATGGTGAGCCCATAAGCTAGGGTAGTGATTGGCTCATGTTTTAACAATTGATTGATTGATTTACGAAGATTAAGTCACCCACAGGTGGCACGGGCATGATTAGCCTGTAACCGGTGTTAACCATCGCATTGGGCTGAGCGGTCTCGCTTCATGCAGGTCGGCGTTCAATCCCCGACCGTCCAAGTGGTTGGGCACCTTTTCTGTCCTCCCCGTCTCATCCCAAATCCTTATCCTGACCACCTTCCAAGTGCTATATAGTCGTAATGACTTGTCGCTTTCTCCTGATCGTTCCATCCTTCTACCGTACGTAATCCCCCCTCCATCCCTCCCCCCCCCCTTTAATCCTGCCCCCTCCCCTCCCCTCCCCTCCCCTCCCCTCCCCTCCCCTCCCCTCCTAGATAGAACAAAATTATATATATATATATATATATATATATATATATATATATATATATATGTCGTACCTAGTAGCCAGAACGCACTTCTCAGCCTACTATGCAAGGCCCGTTTTGCCTAATAAGGCAAGTTTTCATGAAATAATTGTTTTTCGACTACCTAACTTACCTAACCTAACCTAACCTAACTTTTTTGGCTACCTAACCTAACCTAACCTAACCTATAAAGATAGGTTAGGTTAGGTTAGGTAGGGTTGGTTAGGTTCTGTCATATATCTACGTTAATTTTAACTCCAATAAAAAAAAATGACCTCATACATAATGAAATGGGTAGCTTTATCATTTCATAAGAAAAACAATTGAGAAAATATATTAATTCAGGAAAACTTGGCTTATTAGGCAAATCGGGCCTTGCATAGTAGGCTGACAAGTGCGTTCTGGCTACTAGGTACGACATATATATATATATACATGCATCATACAAACATACGTGAACATATACATACAATGAAACATACATACCTACATGAATACATATCCATACACATACAAAGAAATATATACCCCCATTCATATCCATACAACATATATTTTCATACACAAATTAATTCATAGACACAAAATAATAATTATAATAAATTATTAATAAAAGTATGAAACCAACAGCGATAATAAAAATAAAAATAATAACTTTCTGAATAACATCTTTATTTACTTAGTCTGATTTAGTGCCGAAAATGACATAGTTGAGCGTGGAATCAGGTCGTTGGGTCGTTTGCATATTTACCTTCATATAATTGTCAAGAATTGGGGGATTTATGTTTGTTTTTAAATAATTGTAATCCTATTATTTGGTTTAATATATGTAAAAGACACATACATGGTTACCCAAGCATTCAGACGATTTGCTCACTCATATGTGTACTCAGTCACGTGTGTACTCACTCACGTATGCACTCATTCACGTGCACACTCACTCACGTGTGCACTCATTCACGTGCACACTCACTCACGTATGCACTCATTCACGTGCACACTCACTCACGTGTGCACTCACTCACCTGTGCACTCAATTACCTGTGCACTCAATTACCTGTGCACTCAATTACCTGTGCACTCAATTAACTGTGCACTCAATTACCTATGCACTCACATACACTTTCTCGTCAAGAATGAAGGATTAGGATGCGAGATATAAAGATCTACATCTCTCTCTCCTGTAGAGTCTCTGATAGACAAGAACTGATAGATAAACACACCTGTTTACTCTCTTGCGTGTTCACACACCTGTCTGCTCCCCTGGTTATAGACAGAAACCCCCCTCCCCCCCCCCCCCATCCACGTATATGAAAATAGGTCCCCATTAGCAAAATAACGTCATTTGCATAAGTTAAACTAGCCAACGCTTGCGTTACCTGAAGATATGTAAAGAAATAA